GAGGTAATAACACAAGCAATATCATAATCTCATATTCAATTAACCAGAACAACAATATTTTCTTTTTACATACCTAGTAGTATCCATAGGGGTCCATAGGAATGTGTCCACTACGAGGGAACCATTATTCAACATAATCAAGTAACCAGCTATCCCCATACTCCATCCAGTATAAGCGCTAAAAATGTCATCCCTCAATACCCCGTCTAATATGAGGGTAAAACGGGTCGTTCCCATATCTTATCCGGTATGAGCATCAAAATACCAATCCTCGATATCCCATCTGATATGAAACAATGTTCACGATAGGGTTCCCTATGTACCCGGTTCGTCCACAATCTCCCAATATATTCAGTAAGGCTACCATTCATTCATTTATTTACTTAATCAAGTAATTCTCCGTTTACATTTAATTTTCAGTTTCAAAATTTAACTGTAAATCATGCAAAATAAGCAATACATGCATCAAGAAAACACAACTGAATCGTTTTACCAACTTCAGTGTATTATCATGCATTTAAAATTATAAAATCAATCAATCAGTTAAAATATGATAAAAAGTGATAAATAACCGATTCCAACTCTATTATTAACCAGTAATTAATTATCGAAGTTTTTTAAATTATACAAAATACACTATTATTTATAATTAGACTTCAATTCTATAATAAGAAATAAGGTGAGTGATTTTTACACTAATCGATATCCAAAATACTAAACTTTCAGGTGCGTCTACTGGCGATCCCCAGATTTTCTGAATTTTTCTTCATAGATCAAAACACACTCAAGTACCTAAAAATACCCCAAAAAATCTTTAAAAACTTTTTTTGGCCAATTTCAAAATTTCGGCACGGCGGCACTGCCGTCCGCGGCGGCAGTTTGCCTTAAATTGGCCTTTTTGGCCAGTTTTGGACGATTTCAGTCGGTTTTATGCTCATTCTTGAGAGAAAACACATTGAGGAGCCACGGTTGGCCGAAAAAAATCGAAAAATAAAAACTCACTGGTGGCAAAATTTTTCAGTACGGTGGCTCTGCCGGCTCACCTTCGTGGTTGGATTTTTTCTTCAGTCAACCTGTAGAAAACATAATGGTGATTATAATGGTGAAAAAATCGCACGAAATGGAAATCGGGAAGGACCTCATCGGAGGTGATTTTTTATTTTTCCCGTGGCGGCGCCACCAGGCTTTACCCGTGTTTTTCGGCCCATCCGCTAGTCCTTTTCTCTGATTTGGCCATGGAGCTGTTCAAAATTAAATTTCGAGTGAATAAAATATTTTTTACTTTTTTTTGCTGTCAGAGATGGCTCTGGTGCGGCGGTGGGTGGCGGTTGGCTCCCTTCTCCAGCGACTGGTTCTTTTTCTGTGGCAGGGGGTTGGCGGTTAGGGTTAGGGTTTGATGTGAAGTGAGATATTTATACCCATCTTCCTTTAATATGGGTCGTCTATCGTGTTTGATTTCGACTGTCTGATCACATTTAAAGAGGAAATGAATTTGTACTGTTCATCGCGATTTGATATTGATCGTACGATCACGTTTAAACAGGAAACGAATCTGAACCGTTCATCACGTTTAATCGCGACCGTCCGATCGTACCTGATGGGGGAATGGATTCAGACCGTTCACGCGCGTGGGAACAAATCCAAACCGTCCGATCATGGGCACATAGATTGCCAGCTTGGCCTCCCGTACGACACCGATTCAGCGTGTCTTGCCACGCGGCGTGCTTTGGTTCATTGGGACTGCTAATTGGGTAGTCTTACGTGGCACATTTTTCTTAAATTATATTTTGACTCCCAGTTTTTAATTTTTTTTTTTAAAAAAAAACACTTTTAAGACCTAAATTTTTACCTATTTTTTCCAAATTTATTTTTAATTTCATCATCCACTTATTTTTTTCTTAATTTTACATTAAATAAAAATTTATAAAATTAAAATTTATATTTTTATATATTAATTTTAATTTTTAAATTAATTCTGGGTGTTACAGTAATATTTTAGAAAATGTGGTTTATTCACAATTTGAAATTATCTAGAAGAAATATTAGTATTCTCGTTAAATTTGATTTAGCAGGAAGGAATTTAAACTCTTCAAACTAAAGAAAACAATACAAATCTAATCCGTTTTATATACTTAAATCATCTGATAAACCAGAAAAAGAAAGAAAGAAGGCATTTAAATGGCAGTGACGTTATTAGCCTTTTCTCTTCTTTAAATGCCACTGCAGATTCCCATACAACATAAAATAGGTAAGGTATATTGAGCATTTAAAATAAAATTTAACACAATTAATTTCAAAGTATGGTCCAATTACGTATTTACATAATTTTGAAATGCAATTATCTTTTTATAAAATATAAAAACAATTCAGTTTTTTTTTTTTTAATTTTCCAATATATATGTAATTTCCACCTTAATTGTATCCTAATATTTGAATTTTCACTTTTAGGTGCATCGCTTTGTGGCAAAAAGTGTATATATCTTTAATGTTTTTGTTAAATTAATAAATATATAAATTTTTATTAAAAAAAATTTAATAATTATATATGAAGAACAATAGTAAGAGAAAAGCAATGGAATTTGCAATGGCAAACCCTAAATTACAACAAAGAAGAACAAAAAAGAGGAATGATTACACAGGTTTTGTAGCTGAATAAAAAAAAAATGATGGGAATGGATTAATTGGTAAAATAAGCAATGAGAAAATGGTCAAATATCATCAAAATGACTCGAAATTTTCTTTTAAGAAAAATAAATGATGATTTGAACATACTCAAAAGTATATCTACATTCCTGCTCCCCACGAGTATGCAATTTGAATTGCAGTTTCTAATAATAAAAATATTAAAATGGAATAATTAATTAGGCTCTAAATCTCCAAAACAAAATACTCAGCTCTCTTGTTTTCTTGTTTGGTTCTTGATAGAAGAAGGCCTTTTCTTGCATCAGAAACCAAATGCTGCCTAAACATTGCAATGAAAGCTTCAGCTCTCTCATTCAATTCCTCCTTTGATAGTTTATGCTCTCCTTCAACTTCACCTTCACCTCCACCTTCACAGCTTCTTCTCTTTCTGTTCAACTCTTGGCAAATTTTGGGTTCTTCAAAATGGGCTTTTTTCTTCATTTGGATTTCAACTTCATCCTTCTTGGCGTTCTCTTGAGTTTCCTGACCTGATTTGGTGCTGGTGGAAGTGAAAACAATGGCTAAGAGGACAAGATTTAGGAGTAGGAAAACCCATTCTCGCCATTGCTCGACTAGAAAAACCACTAATGCTCGTCTTAGACCCGCCATTAAAACAACCACTCCTGCTGTGAATAAACCTGTAATGTATACACTTTCATCTTCCTCCTGTTCTCTTTCTTTTCTTTCTCTTTTCATCATCTCCATGAACTTAAAACCTACGAAACTTTGAAATATCTATATATTTGTGCAGATGAGGGAGCTCGACTAGCTTCTGGGTATGAGTGTATATGTATATGTATGTACATATATTTGGTGGGGTGGGGCATAAGTGATGATCAAATGCCGAACACAGAAGACAAAGACTGTGATGATGAGGGGAGAGATGTGATAGGTCTAGAGGAGACAGGAGACATGCTACACCTGCACTG